TCCTACACACTGGTCCTTTCATTCACTTAAATATCTGTTCTTTGAAAGTGGCAGATTATGAGTGACACTAAATTTATACAGTTGGTTCTGTACACAGAAAAAAATACAAATAAATATGTATATATATTTTCAAAAACAATCTTAAAAAGTTGTTTAATTATTATCAATTAGCAGCAGTTAGATTGAGGGTTATTGTAATTCTCATGATGCTGAGTCTGAATATCTGTATCCTTGACTCTAAGATTGTACCATAAATATAATAACCCACATTGATCAGGAGTGTTTTCACTGATATTAACAATTATCACACAGCTCTAATCAGCTAAATAAATTACTCTTTTAACAGAGCTTGTTAACTCTGACGAACAAAATCACAGATAATTACATGGTTCACCAAATTGTCTTTAATTCCCCTCTTTCTGTCTCACTCTCCTTTTCTGTGGTGTCTCACCTTTCACGGCATCTGTGGTTACTAACGCAGGGCCGAGGGGACAGAAGCTGTCGAACGTTTTTCCCAGCAGCCACTGCTTCCCGTTGCGCTTCATCTGCCAGTCACGTGCGCTGACGTCGTTGGCCACAGTGAAGCCGGCCACGTAGGAGAGCGCATCTTCCTCCTGAACAACAAGAGGAAATGGAGTCGGAGTAGAAGCTGCACCAGAGCATCAAACTGTCTGGGCCATCAGAGGTGATTCTGTGACGCTCACCTTGATGTGTTTTCCTCTTCGTCCGATCACAAAGGCCAACTCCACTTCCCAGTCCACCTCCTTCACTCAGACAAAACAAGAAAGCAAATATGGCATCGAGAAGCAGAAACAGTGTCCCTGTTACAGTCTGACAGTTAAATATATATAAATACACTCACTCTTTCTCCAGCACCATGTTCATTAACTGAAAAAAATATTTATTTATACTATAAATATATATAAAAATAAATACATGCATACTGTATACACACAGTAGACTTTGTATTTGTTCTCTTTAACATCTGCAAAACACAAGGAGACACTAACATTGATTTGTGTCTTGTACTAGGAAAAAAAAACATCTTATACAATAAATCTTTAAGTGGGAGTGAAGCGATTGGATTTTATTATGTGGCAAATTAAAGCCCTTACAACGGGGAACTAAAACTGCCGACCCGGGGGCCATTTACAGCCTTCCACCCCCTCCCTGTAGTCTACATAATATAATCGTTAGATTTAATGTTATTTATTTATTTTTTAGTAGTTGTTTCATATCAATTTAAACTATCTCTTCGTATACAATTAAAATAAAACCACAATTCTATTTTAGTATAAAGTAAGAATGAAAAAAGACGAGAGCAGGTTTCAGGCCTTCATTCGTTGTTTGGCTGCGAAACAACAAAGATTATATAAAAACGTAGAGAAACGGCTGTTTGCGTCTTTTTAAAGGTTTATATCAGTAATGGAAATATTTTTTAGAATATTACACTTTCTTGTAGCACTTCCTTGAGCAGTGGCCCCGAGCTAATTGGAGTTTGAGACGGCTGACCTACAAGGGACTTTTTTGTGTTGGATCTGGCGACCCCTGTGGACAAAAGCAATAGTGTTTCCACCACCTTGTTTCATTGATTTTAAGGGGAATCCGACCTGTAGGAATGCATTAAGAATAACTACATAGAAACAGTTTTCTAACTGGTGGTTCTGTGTGTTTATGAAGGTCAGATGGAAAGTTTTAGTACTATACACAGGTATATAGTATTAAAATCTACACTAAATTAGGTGTTTATCTCAAAATGTTCTACAACTTAACTAAAATAATTCCTTTAATTTCCCCAGATGCTGTTTTACACAATAATTTAAATTTGTATTTACCTGCTTGTTAAAAAGTTAAACCAGTGGAAACCATCTTGGTATTTGGAGGCTTCACAGATAAAGACCAAAGTATACTGGAGCACACGAAAAAGGGAAACAAACTTTGAATGAATGAATACGTTTCAGCACCAGGTGCGTCTTCATCAAAGTCGATCTCGGGATGATTTGTGATCTCAACGTAAATCTGTAAAATCTCTGCTTCAGTCCAGCTTTTTGTTAAACTAGAGAACTTTGCAACAACGTAGATCTCACATTACACCAGCTTTATCTTTTAAAGCACTCTGAGCGTTAAGTGTTGGTGCTCGCTCTCACCTGGCTCTCTGAGGGCAGGATGATGTCATCGTACGGCCCTGTGATGGCGTTGGGAAATTTGCTGAAGATTATCGGCTCTTTGGGGATCGGGGCGTTCTGCTCCAGGCAGTGGTCCCGGTAGTTCATACCCACGCACACCACCTTCTCCGGGGCCAACACAGGAGACAGCAGCTGGATGTCTGAGCGCTCCACCACGCACTGACCGGACGACAAGGCCCTGAGGAAGAGGAGGAGGAAGAGGAGTCAGCAAGAACATGACCCTGAACATGAAGGAGAAGGATGATGAGGAAGGTAAAGTTGTAGGAACAAAGAGAGGATGTGGGAAGAAGAGGATGATTCAGGAATTAGATGAAGACTAGAAAACTAATAATCAAGAAAGGACGTTCGTGTAGGAACGAGATTGAAGAAGATGATGGTAACCATGAAGAGGATTTATTCAGGAGATAATGAGGAGGAAGAAGACAAGGAAGAAGATCAGTTAAGGAAGGAGATGGTGATTTAGGAGTCAAACCTTTGTGCACGCTCCAGACCCTCGTCTCCCAGCTCCAGCAGCTCTCTCATTGTCGAGGGCATGGAGGGGTCAAACGCCTTCAGATCCACCACGCCGAGCCCCTCGCCGTGCTCCACTCCCACCCTGATGTCCCCTACGTCACCGTGGCGATGAAACTGCACCAGACGCATCGCTGCACCGCTCAAGGCTCGCCGCTGTGGGTTTGTCGTCTGCCTTTGACAGAATAAACTCCTGAAGATGCAAAAGGAGTGAAGAGGAAGCCTCATCTGTCGGAGGGACAAAAGAGGAGAAAGCTGTGAGGAGGCGAGGAAGGAGAACAGATGGCAGACGAGAGAAAATCAAACACAATCTGATTTCTTCTTCTTTTGGTTTATTGTGAATTCCTTCATCCTTCAGATTGTAGCACCCACACACAAATCTCAATCTCCATTTATAATTCCATTAATCAATTAATTGTTAGCCTGTCAGATGTCATAAAATAGTGCCATAAACTTGTTGTAGTAGTTAAAAAGTTGTTTAAATATAGAGCAAAGCAGGGTTTTTCCTTGATAAATTAGTAATCAATCAGTGATTACAGTTTCTATCACTGTGTTCCACACTGGGAATCCTTTGGACAGCTCAAAACTTTAAAACATTACACAAAAGATCCATCAACTCCTCCTCAATTACATAAAGTCTTAAACTGTCGATACTAATAAACAGTGAGAACAAAATGAGCAGCACCCAAACTAGTTTGTCGAGATGAGAGCTGCCAAAGTACACATTGATGTGCTGTCACTTGATAAAAGAGCAGTAAATGACAACCACGATAAGAGAAGCATGAACGCAGCAGCAGAGGGTAAACTTGTGCCTACCTGCAGCAGCTCGACCTGTGGTTTTGTTTTATCTTAGATAATGCGCCATTTGAACTGTGACTCTGTAACCTGCTACTGAACAACCGGGACAGCTACTACTTGTTTCATGCCCTTTGTACTGTCTCTGGTTAATACTTACCTCTCTAGTTTTGCACAGAAAAACACTGTCAACTACTTCCGGTTAGTGTTTGTAGTCCGTGTAGGTCAACCAGAAGCGAGATTAATCGATTAACTGTGTAAGCACGGTTGTATATATTATATAATATCGAGCAATCATTTATATGTTTGTCATAACATCATTTTAATGCTGTTTTTCGCGTTTGTTGAATTAATTGTGGAAACTACAATTCCCTACTGTTTTCTTAAATGCGCCTTCACGTACAGTCAGAACTTTCTGATACAACCATAGTTACTTGATACAACCATAGCTGATTACCGTCAAACATGAATGTGGCTTTCATTGTGTGATAAAATAGGTCATATTACACACTTTAACTACATCAACCGACACCAAATATAACAATTTCGGCGTTATTTTAACACCCAAAAACCTTAAATAGGAGAAAATACGCACTTTATTTTTTTTTTTACGACTCGTGATGTTCGCAATTACGAGCTACGAGAAGCGACGCGAAGGCAGCACGGGTCGAAGTTCTCGGATCACGTGATCAACCGGAGAGGAGTGAAGGGACGGATCTCCGGTCGGCGGCTGTCAGCTGTCTCTTTCACCCTGAACCCAGCAGAGGAAGAGGAAGAGGAGGAAGAGGAGGACCACGATGTGCACCAGGTGAGATTAACGGCTGCCTCCAACCGCCCGATCCTCGGTGTAAATTAACGGTTGTCTCACCTGCAGCTGCTTCGTCCATGAATGAATCCGCTGATTGTTAAATAGGAGATAGTTTCCCCCTGCAGCTGTGTGAGGTCGTGTTTTCTTCAGATTGTTTAATTAAGGCGTTTAATTTACCTGTGGTAGTTAGCTGAATGTTAATTTAATGTTTTATTTGTTTATTAATCCGCAGCTCAGAGTGGATGAATCTGATCTCATGTTGCAGAGATTTTTTTTTTTTTTGTCTGGATACAGTTTCCACTAAAAGGGCCCACGCAGTCGGTTTTTAATGCTTATATTTCACTTTCAGTCTCACTATACTTCTCTCTAAGTGTCATATGATCCCAGAAAAAAGACTAGTTAACAGATTTATAACATCATCCAGCCCAAAGTGCACACTAGGTTCAAAGTTTTGTGAGACAAGTCAACCTGTCTCACTCCTGTTTAACAGCTCAAATTAAGCAGATCTCAAAGGTCTTGTTGGTTTCCACACTCTGTTATCATTAACCCGCATTATAAAAATCACACACAAGACTGATTGTGTCCCTCTGCGTGAGATATCTCTGCTGACAATGCTGACACTGCAGATTCAAGAGGAAATAACTCTGTGTATTTGGGTATTTCTCTGTCCAGCGTCCAGCCTGTTGAATGGACCGCCGACATCAAGAACCAGAAGTGAGTACTGGGAGAAATGCAGCGCTTCCTCTTTAGCTGCCAGGGTGTTGGTAAGTTATTTTTGTGCATCTGAATGATGATATTGTGTTTTTTGTAGTTTCGATGGCATCGTGTTGGTGACCCAGAGCCACGACACTCTGCCCGCTGAGCTCGAGTGTCTGAAAGCACCACTGCAGGACTACAGCTCTGTAAGTCTGTAACCTCACAACCCTTTTCTCACCTGTTCTTCATCTGTATCACATCCAGACTGCAGGCACTCACACACCAAACCCAGATTACTGCTGGTAATTGAGAATAAGAAACAATGTTCTCATGTAGGACTGGAAAAAACACATTTAAGGATGAATCCTGATTTTTGAGTTCAGTTATTGAGCACTGATTCTTAAAAACACTAGAGCGACCTTTGCATCTGTGCCCTTAAAGTTAATGTGTACGTTTGCAGTAAATAAAGTAAAGTAAATAAATAAATGGTTCTGTCAGTGACACACAATGTGTAAAACATCTTAAGTTATTACAATAAAAAGGTTGTTTCACAAGTAATATGTAGTGTATATAATAGCTGCTGTTGAGTGAGATAAAAAAGAAACTTAAGTTGGAACTATATATTCTGAGAAGTGCTTTTTATATTAATGCAACATGGGGATTAATCAGTCTTAAATCATACTGAAATGAACCAAATCAGGACTTTGTGAATCAAAATTGAGAGATAGGTGTTAATTCAAGATTCAAGAAGCTTTATTTATGCCGAGGGAAATTACTGTGCAACAG